AGCAACATCACCCCAACACCGCTCTTGTCTTTCTACTGAAATCATGTACCAGATGGCCCCAAGAACCTGGAATTGAACGGTGCATTTAAGTGTAAGGAAATCCAAACTATCCCTTTGAAAAAAAAAATAATAAACACACACACACTTACATGGCTGGCTAGCGTGTAGAGGAATAGATTCAGAGCAGCTCCACCCCAAGCAGTCTCAGTGATAATGCCTGAAGTTCGTGTAACTTCTATATAAAGGGGAACAATTCGAACAATCCTCGGTACATATTGACAGAAAATAATGTATCTCAATGACTCCTTCGTTAGAAATGCAACCGGCTGGTCTTTCAATGAAGGGCCAAGCAAAATTACAAGCTGAGAGAGAACACAAAGTAACAACAATTGTTAAGTTGTAATCTTTTCTTTAATGATATTGAAGAACTTAATTGGAACTTACTACAGAGAAGCAACAAACCTGTGGAAGTGGAAGAATTGACAGGACGTCGATGATGAAGTATGTGAAAAAGTACCTCTTTGCAATATCCCAAGGATCAACAATCAAGTCACCCCTACCAAAGACTCCAGAAGAAGCAGCAATGAACCCAGTTCGGAATTGAAAGATCATGTGAATTATATAAAAGGCATCGATGAGTGTACGAAGGACACAGGCAATGTTTGCCAGTCTTTTATTCAGATTGAGGCACTTTTGGGTTCCGTCATTCACAACCACTGGGGTGTAGAAGAAAAGAGGGTCCAGTGCCAAAGCAATTATACAGGCTAAGAGAAATATTTTATTCCAGATTTCAAGGAAAGATTCCTGTGGATCAAGAATTTTCTTCCAAGAACCTGAATCTTTTTCTGACTTGTTACGGGAAGACGTTACGTTCATAGGTTTTCTGAAGCTTTTGACCCTTTGAGAACCCACCTCAACCCCTCTCCGGACACTTTCCATAACAGAAGCCAGAGAGGTTCTAACTTTTCTCGGAAAAATTGCATCAGCATAACGCTCAGTTAAAGATTTATCTGATTCAAACCTAGGTGAAACAAAAGAATTCCAGAAAGCAAAACATTTAATTTCACAACTGATGCGATGATTAGAAGTTGCCAAATTAAAAATTAAGCCAAAAAAAAATAAAAGTTTAGTATTCAAACTTTAGCGCAATTAAATAGAACTTAAAGTGAATGCTTAAAGAGGCTAACCTCACAAATTTATTTCCCCTAACATTCATAGCTTCAGCCAATTATTTAAACCAATCAGGCCCTGCAAAAGTTCAATTTTCCATAATCAGTTTTGTTTAATCAGATTATATGCATATAAAGTGAAAAAATCATCCATCGAAGTTAAACCTTTGACCTTCTGCGGTTCCTTGCGCTCATTTACGACGACCGGCCTTGACTTCTGCGGTTGAGTTGAGGAACGGCGATAAAGAGAACAGAAGTCTTCAGGAATCGAACGAAAAATCTGGGAGAGATTTTGAACGTTGAGGAAATAGAGAGAAATTTCGTTAAGTAAAGGCCTTTTCAGAAGAGGTTTACCGGAGAGTCTCCGATAGCAGTTACTGCGTTTTCTAGGTGAGAGAAGTAGGAATGGAAACTGAAATAGGAGGAAATACGGAGAAAATAAAAGCAGTGGTACAAGTTGTACAACAGAAAAGATGATATAGGGAGAGGAAAATGAGAAGGTTAAATCACCATTTTGGTATCTAAACTTTGAGTATTAGACCAAGTTGGTCCTTAAACTTTATTTTTGCAATACTAAATTGGCCCTTTCCTTGACGTAGCTGTCGGTTGTGACGTTAATTTACCACAAAGTCATGCTTTTTAATTTTAAATATTAGATGGAATTCTTATTTTCTTGTTTTTTATGTGTTACATGTGCATTTCTATACTTTAAAAATTAAAGTAATTGATTTAAAATTTATTATATTTTGATGGCCAAACACTTAGCCCTAAATTCTCCTTTTAGCCTCCAAAGGTTGGGAAAGAATTATTATTTTAATTGTAGTTTTGGTGGCTAGAACTATAGTTTGAGGATGTGTGTAGGTTTCTTGATTTGTTTTAAAATGTTGAGTTTGATTTTGGGTGTGTTGTGGAGTCAATGAGCTATAGAAAATTTTTAATTTCTGAGGTTGTACACGATAAATATTTGATGAAATGCTTATGTCTATGAGGTGTTGCTGAATTTTGTTGAGAAAAATACATTGTTAGTTGCCTTTAATAGTGGTTGAAGATATTATTTACTTAAGGAACTATCTGAATTTAAAGTTTGGGAGAAATGGTTTTTGAACTTTATAGTTTTGATTCATCAAGCGAGAAGAATGTGACTGAAATGGGTTCTCAAACCAATGGCCCAAAATTGGAATCTAGATTTGGGTTTTTGCATAACTAAAAAATTTTGAACATGTTAAAATTTGGAATTACTTTTCCTAGTACAATTGAAATTTGACTAATTTTATGTTTGTTTTTCGGGTAATTAAAGTTATTTTCATTGTGATAATGTGGGAGATAGAGAGAAGGATATGCTAGAGAAGAGAGAGAGGTGAATGATTAATTAAATGTGGGTCTCATTGTATTTAATTTAATTTATTAAAAAAAGTTATGATAATTGTACATTAAAAAGATAATTAAGGTAACATAATAATTGAAGTAGCTTTAGTAGACTCATAATTTTGAAGTGAGTGGATAAAATAATAATTAGCATTAGTATTAATTAATTACAATCAAACTTTATAAAGAAAAGTCATACATGGCAAAAAAAAAAAATCCATCTTCTCAATAATAAAATGAATTCAAAATTTTCATGTAATATTTTAAGTTTAAAATTTTGCATGAAAAAATACTTAACCGTACATGTTAGCATTTAACTAATGGAAGGACCAAGTCGTTAATAAAAAAATTAAAGTTTAAGAATGATTTGGTAATTTTTGAAGTTTAAAGATCAACTTGGTCTAAAACTCAAAGTTGAGGGACCAAAATAATAACTTAACCCAGTGAGAAAAACGATAATGAAGTCTACGGGAGTCGTCCCCCCCTAAAAAATAAAAATAAAAAGGGGAAGACGAAGAAGAAGAGGAGTCGTCAAGTCAAGCTCGAGTCCCTAGCCTCTAGGCAAATTATTGTTGGGTACTCGTTGTTGGTCCCACATGGCCATTGTTATGTGGCCAATAACTTGCGTTCTGTTCATCATGGTTCATCCCATCACAACACTGTTACCAATGTTGTTAGTTTGAGGATTGTAAAAAATCAGGGGCATAATCCCGGTTTTGAAACAGTAACAGTAGTAAAAATTAGGAAACGATCTCGACTTTGATTGGGCTCTGCTTTTCAAATTTTCTTGGGGAAAGAAAGCTTTAAAACCTATTTGGTTGCTCACTTCTTTTTTAAAAGAATTTGAAGAATTGATTAAAAATTTAATTAGTTTAGTTTAGGATTTTTTTTTTAACATGAGAAATTATAAAAGATAAAAAGATTTTTTAAATAATTGGTAGAGATTAAATTCTCCATCAATTAAATTTAAATATTAAAATTTGAGAACAAATCATTAGTTGAACATTTCATTTAAAATATTAATTTTTTTATACATAAATCAAAACACAATATAATTAGTTATAAAGAAAAGGATAATAGATTATGAGTGCTTTTGAAATTGTGATTGAGAGTATTTTCGTGTAGTCATATAATATTTTTAAATATATATGTGTTTGGTAATTTTTTTAAATTAAATTTTTTAAAAATCACAGAAAGTTACAACAGATTTATAGTAATTTTATGTATAAAGTCAAAAGTTTCATTTTTAGAGTTTTTTTAACTATGATTTTTATGAAAAATATCTAATATTTAATATAATTACAAAATTACTCATTAAAACTTAATTTCATATAATTTAATTACATCATAATATATAATATGTTAATAATTTAAAAAATTTAAAGAACCTAAATTATTAAAAGAAATTATATATTTTAATAATTATATATCTTAC